AGTCATGCTAGAGATTATGGCATTTATATGAAGTCTAGTTGATTTTATACTAAAAAAATAAAAAAAATAATTAAAATCTATCTATATAGTATTATAATGTGGTGATTTTAATTCAACTTATTTCCAGCATGTTGTAAAAATACTACAAAACTACAGAAAACCACAATAATTTAGATTCAAAATGTTCATCCTGTCCTATTCTCACAGGCCAGATCGTTAGAGTCTGCAGCATTCTGTCACTTAATCTGGTCAAAAACCGCCTGCTACATCAGGAAAGCCAGTTTAGCTGCCATGGAAAATATCCAACCACAGGCCACTGTTTAACGTTGATGATGATTTTCAGAATGAGGCTGCAACAAAAACAAACCTAAGAGAAACAAATGCGCAGGCAGAATTGCTGAGTTATCTTGCTTAAAAATGTAATACTATGAAGGTCACCATTTTTTTCCCATCAAGCCACTATATCACCCTGAAACAGTCAGCACACAACTGCTTGCAATCAAATGTTTCCCACTGGATTGATTAAACCTGCTGCATGCAAGTGAGTACACATGGATGCGTAGATGATCAGAACGCAACTGAAAATTGCAGCTTAAAGTGCAAAGGATTTCAGTCACTCCATCTTCATGTGGGCAGAGCGTCTGAGGCTAAGACTAATAACTGGCTCATCCTACTAATTTCTTTTCTCCATTCTTCACTAATGGATACACACATAAACACACACACACACACACACACACACACACACACACACACACACACACACACACACACTTACCTCATGCTCTCTTGATTATCTGCTACCTGTTTTGGTTTCCTGCTGCTGTAATCTATGATGGCCAATTAACCTGCAGCACCAGGGTAAAACCTGTCTTCCAGCATCCACACACTGAACTGCACTGTTGGCTCACTGCAGGCAAGGTCAAATTAACGCTGAAAGAATTTAGGGTATATGAGCATGGTGACAGAGATTCCTCACATGTTGCATGTGTGCCATAAAAGCACACAGTGGACAGCACCCCCAAACTGAGCAGAGTGTAGTAAACCAAGCAGTATGGTATTAACTCCGTAATAAAGGCATATGTTCAAAAGGATTAAGTTGCATGATGGAATAACTCATGCTACTCATTTCATTTGAGTTCTGTTGGCCCCTTTTTGCTAGCGCAGTGCTGAGAACCGTTTGGTCTCACTGCTGCAGCTCCATAATCCTGTTACTGCGAAATGGGAGGGCATTTTACTCACCAAGTCCCAGTAATCCATACGATAAAGCTTTAGAATTGATTCTTATCCCACTGCAGCTCTCACTATCTTTAAGGCAAAGCTCAGGCTGCTCACTTGTTTTTAATCTGTTAAAGTAAACTGCCTAAAATATGTGTCTGCATGTTTTTCTTTTTGATGATCGAGAGCATTTGTTCTTTGTCAAGCATTTTGCTAATGGCATATAGCAAGAGCTATAGTTAAAACAGTGAGTGTTAACTAAACTAAAATATAACTAAAAAAAAGATAAAGTAAATAGTAAAAAGAATAAAGTGATGGTTTTATGAAAATGCAAATGTTTTTCCCAACGTAGTATCCCAAATGTTGTCGGTGAGGCAAGAAATGCTTTGCTTCTTTAGTTTTGAACTGAGGCTACGGAGCTGGTGCAGCTAACAAGTAATAAAAACTTATACCCCCTCAATTAGCACTGTGCAAACTGAAAGCCTAAATTGTCACATACTTGCCTCAAAATCTTAAATAGTCAGCCTTGTCAACCTAGTTCACTTGTCAGCCACCTTGAAGTCAGAATTTTGTCAAATTTTTTACCCAATTTTCTCCCCAATTTAAGTCCAGCACCCTAGTTAGGGCTTGCCCTGCCACACAATGCTACAGACACCAGTGTTAGCTAGCATCGCATTAAGTGATGGTAAAGAAGGGAGGGCCATCCAGGGAGCCAGAGAAAGCAGGTCAATTATACTCTCTTAGACTCCTGGCCATGGATGGCTGTGTCATTGTCAAGAATTGAACTAATGGTCTCCTGACAATAGGTGAACGCTTACACCGGGCATTAAACTGTGTTCCTGGACACATCTCTACAGAGATTAGCAATTTCCCCTCTTCTAACAATTTGAAATCAATTCATGAAGGCCTTGCTTAATACCAGATGAGCTGATTCAGGTGTGTTTAATTTGGCAGAATGCTTAAGTTTGCATAGTTGAGGCCCATAAGGAACTCCCAGGAGTTTGACACACAGGGCTTAGATGACTATACCACTCGGGACATATTTTGTCTATACTTTTATAGACAGCATTAGGTCATACTATGCGTGAAACCACATAAGTTAGTCTATACAAGATTAGTTAAACAGTAGCTCCAGTACAAAACTAAAGCAACAAACTTCAGACACCAGACATTCCTTAACTGATCAACTAACTGTAGTCTAAGGGGGAAATAATGTAAATTTGACTTTTTTGCTTTAAAGGGGTGAATAAACCGGCCAAACACCAACAAATACAAACAGACATTAGTGTGACAAACTTGTTTAATTGTTTAAGAGAGTCTAGGATGTTCTCTCCTTATGAACTCTAATTCTGCAAGATTGTCAGTTCTTTTACAGACATGGTAAAGACAACTGCAATGCGTACGTTATTGAGCTAACTTGTGATGCCTCTGTGGTGGGGAAAGCATGGGTAGAATTTGCACTACATCAGCTTTTATCCAGCATGAGTTAGCCCTCCATCAGCCAGTGCAGTAATCCAGAGTTGCTCTCCTGCCTTTGTTTGCTGGTGATTAATTTGCGTCGGATTTGTTTTGGCCAGGCCCGGCTGTCCTTCCATCTGTTGTAGCTGTGACATAACACGAGGACCTGCCGCGACAGCCCGGTACCCACCCGCCCACTGCTGACGTCACCCATCCTCTCTCGCTCTGCCACTGTCCCTCCATCTCGGTTTCTTTCCGCTTGCTTCTTCTTCCTCTTTCCCCTCCTCTACGCTACTGACTGGGTTTCTGGCACTGGTGTACATGTATGCGCTTGAAGGTTAAAAGAGAAAGGCAGCAAAAGCTGAGCTATAACTGTAGTGGAAGGTGCACCGTCACAGCTTTGGAACATAATGCTGCTCTCCGTTTCTCTGCAGACAGAACAAAATGCCTCCACCGACGCCACCAGGATATCTAAATGGATTTTACAGGCTCTCCTGTTATCAAGTCCTCATGGCACAATGTGCATTTGACTCAAATCATCTATCAGCCATGCACTGCAGACTCATAATCAACATAACATGAGCCTAGTAAACAGTGTGTCGCTAGTGAGGCAAAGCCAGTGCTCAAAGTGCTCCTCTCTCATTTCACACGTTAACAAACAAAATGGCCTCTTTTATACTCATTCCACAGCAGTGGCAAACCAACAAACACCAAATGACAAATTAGCAAAACCAGCATGCGGAGAGTGATCATGATGAAACTGAATTTGTGGTTGACCTATTTGAAACACGCTGCACAAAAGGCTTAAAGACTAAATTGGTGTTAGGCAGAGCCTGAACCAGAGACACAGCAGTGACATGAACCAATTCTGCCGTCCTACAACATGGGGAATAAAATGAGGTCCAGGCAGTGTTTATGCTAAAGCATTGATTTATTTCTTGGCTCACTTTCATGACTAAATTACAAAAGGACTGAATCATGAAAAAGTATCAGATCATACTGTATGTGCAATACAGTTCTTCATTGCATCAGCAGAAGGTCACTGAAACCAATAACAGGCTCTTCTCTGAAGTCTCAGAGGACCTGACAGATATAGCATACATACTACATTACATGTCCAAAAGTTTCCAGACGCCTGCTCTTTCAACATTTCTTCTGGAATGGGTATTAATCGGGAGTTTGTCCCCTCTTTGCTGCAGTAACAGCCTCTGGGAAAACTTTACACTAGAGGTTGGAACACTGCTGTGAGGATTTGATTGCATTCAGCCACAAGAGCATTAGTGAGGTCAGGTACTGATGTTGGATGAATACTTCTGGACACCATTCCAGCTCACCCCAAAGGTACTGGATGGTGCTCCACCACTCCAGATAACACTGTTTCAGTATTCCACAAATGCTGGGGGGCTTTATACCCCTTCTAGATGACGCTTCGTATTGGGCATGGTGACCTCCGGCTCACATATGGTTGCTGCAGACAGTCCCATTCTATTAACAATTTTTTTTTGAGATTACAAGTAGTGTGTGCAAAACTAAATGTCTGTGTCAGCAGATGATACACCTTAATGTAGCTGAATTCACTGAACCTGAAAGGCTATCTGGATACTTTTGGACATACAGGGCCAGAATGATAAAATTCTGCAGTAATCACGCTTCACCATGCATCATGATAATTTAGTCCTATTCACACCGTGGTGGTCAGCACACTTGCTGAATCAGTTATGGCCGTATCTCATTACAGCCGCCACAGAACTGCTGAATGAACTTAATGTTGCCTACCAAAACGGTGGCAGCACGATGTCATCAAATACTATCGATATATGTAAATGGGTTGGAACTAATGACATAATCGTCATTGACTTCTTCTACTCCTACAGCGATACTTACAATGCTTGCCATGTTACTCAACCCAAACAAATCAAAATGTGCCTTTTAAATGTATCGATTAACTTACTTAATGTGTGACTGAACATGTCTCAAATTCTGTCGAAAAGATAACCCAATCCACATCAGCTTCTTACTGGGAAATTTATCATCTGTCTCATTCAGGAGCTTATTTCTTGCAGACAGTGTTCAATTATAAATAAAACAAGGGAAAAAAGGTTAAATACACAGGCAGTCCTTGTTTATGAATAAGTACGTTACCATAACACTACTTGCGCTTCACAGAAAATCAGGCAATGTGTTTTAATAATCCTGCCCATAGTGTGCGTGGGCCCCATGATGTTAGAAACATCTACAAAGAAAGCGTTTTGGCACTACTACCTTTACGAGTCTATAGTTCTGTAAAACAGTGGGCAGTAAATGTCCTTTCTGTTTTCCTACAGGATCATTGGACATACAGAACCATACACCAAACTGTGCTGTAAAGGTTTTTGTATTGACATCCTGAAGAAACTCTCCCGCAACATCAAGTTCTCCTATGACCTCTACCTTGTCACCAATGGCAAACACGGCAAGCTTGTCCGAGGAGTATGGAACGGCATGATTGGAGAGGTGAGACAGCATTTAGGTGCTTTTTAATGCATTTGGTCTAAAGTAACAGGTTAAGGATTTTATTAAAGTGCAGAAGTAGAAAATTCATCCACTGATGAGCTCCTATTCTTATGGGCAGAGTGAGTGGTCCCTATGACGTCAAAGCCAAAGAAGGAATTCTGACTCTATATTGAGTACAAAGGCTGTATATTTCACATAGGAATTGTGACTGGCATTTTAACTTCCTTAAATCATGTTACATATCATTCAGATCAATGTCAGATGCACTGTGTGCTCTGGAGGTTGTGATGTCATCTCTTGTTTTTCCTTTTGTTTTCTTTCTTGTGCAGAGCATCTACTGGGCTTATTAGGTTATGATGTAATAACCAAAGTAATAACTGGAGCTAGTATGTAAACTATTGCTATCCTTACACACAAAAGATCACTGTAGTTGATGTCAGTCAGCATCTAAATTGCATATACAAATGCAGGTAGAAGCTAAACTAGCCTGAAAGTGACGTACATGTAATCACAGGCAGTGATTATACAAAATCAACTGCTTAAATACACACTAATCACAGCATGTGGGCCAGTAGCGTAACTAGGATCTTCAGGGCCACAGTGCAGTACAAAAATGACCATTTTTCTTGTATTCAAAATTTCTTGTAATTGTTTACTCACCGTTTTTCTCTCTTATAAGTTGATGCTCTCAAGGCATGTCACTCCACCAACTAGCATCTAACATTAACCTAAATGTTGAGGTTAGACTACTTAAGATTTCAGAGTTATAAATAATGAATATATCACATTGCAGCCTGAGAAGGATCTATCTGAAAATGCTAATCATGGATGAGATGCATTATGAATAAGTGGGAGATAAACAGAGTTCAGGGCTGTCTGTGTAGTGTTGATGGAAGCTAACCAATGAGGTATGTTGTTAAGACATTGAATCTTTCTGTGAATCATGAATGCACAACTGTGTGAGTATCTATACGAGGGCCCCAACAAATATTTTAGGGGGCACGGTTGCTGCGAGCTTCCTGTCACTGCACCAAACATCATTGCAATTATCAGTCAAATTGCATACATTAATCATACAAATTACATTTAACCTTTTAGTGAAGGCTATGTGGACTCCAACAAGCTCTGTCCTTCCAGATAAAAACACATGTTCATAAAAAAAAGAAACTCCCCACCTCATAATTTGTGTGCTTTTTTCTCTCTTCTTAAGGTGGTCTACAAGAGAGCAGACATGGCCATTGGTTCTCTTACTATAAACGAGGAGCGCTCTGAGATCATTGACTTTTCTGTGCCGTTTGTGGAAACAGGGATTAGCGTAATGGTGGCCAGAAGCAATGGAACAGTCTCCCCCTCTGCCTTTTTGGGTATGAACTTTCATCAGTCATCCATACTAAAGGCTGCAGAACATGTGTGCATAATCTTTTATTTACAGACGTAAGTCTGTAATGTACTCACTCTTTATACTTATGTTCTAGACACAAATGAAATATAATCGAATGCAAAATACTAAATTATACTGCTTTGTGTTTAAGCAACAACCTTCAGTCAAATGTGCCACTTATTCCACCTATCCATGTTCTGTCCACAATTTTTCTTTTTTGCTCTTCAACTACAAAAAACTACTGTTGGACAGAACGTTGGCCAAAAATTCCACTGAACCTAATGAGAAATTTAAAGCATGTTACTAATTTCAAATTATATTTTTGTAGATAAAAAGTTAATGAACAGTTTAAAATTAGTTTATTCATAGTTATTAATAAGGTCATAAACACCCTTAAAAGCATGAATTAACAGTTATATTATTAAAAATGGCAAAGTGAGCTGTTATATCTGATGAATATGAGTATGTGATAATGCTGACAGGTTTAATGCTGACTGATGAAAAAGACAAAGTAAAATCAGTGACTAGCAACATCTGAGCTTTCACAGCATAGATGAATGTGTGTTTACTATTAAGCAAACAAAAGGTCACTGTTTCCTTTTTTTATGTGTTGCAACTGTTTACTAATGATTTTTAAGGCGTGTGTGAACTGATTAATAACTATTAATAAACTATTTTAAAATTGTTTAACATCATTTATCTGGATAATAACCCTAGTTTTGCTTATAAAACATCTTATAATGTTAGAATAAATGCAAACACTAATGCAGAAAATATTAACAAAAATTTCTTGGTTTCAGAAAATTAGACGATATGTTATGAGCTAGTTTAAGAGCACAGGTTTGGTTCTGGATTTCTCAGATTTGCTAAATTCAACATAATGAAGCACTGATTAGCCAAACCAGGTATTGGATGGTAACTACAATTAATACTGGGCTTCCTCAATGAGAGTTTTGTGAAACGAAAACACGTACAAAAAAAAACACTGTTTACTGTATTGTTATATGTATTTATTCTAATATTAGTGTTTTTTTCTGAGCAAAAACACTTACTGCCCAGATAAACAGCTTTTTAAATAGATTTTCTCAGGTGTCCAAAATGTGTGCACAGTACTTTATATTTCAAGTTTATTATGCTGATATTTACTGTTCTACTGTTCTTCAACTTGCAAATGTTTGATACAGGCTTATTAAATTTTGCATTTTTACTTTTATGTATATATTTGTATGCATTTAGATTGGAAAGTTCACTGTGCTCAAACAACATAGAACTGTACTGAAATAATTGTGTTTGCATTACTTTACCACACGTTTCTAGAAGCCACCCTGTCTGTCACAATCCTGCCATTTTTGGCTGAACTGTACAAATTTACATATACATGACTGAAACAGTCACAAAAAGTGTAGGTTACTCATATAAAAAAAATAAGTATGCACAAACATTTTTACATATTTTTACAATATAGTGTGTATTTTACAATATGGAGAAAAGGTGCAGTCAAGGAACTCCCAAGTCCACTGCATGATATCCAAAAATTGGCCTTTAATTGTTCCATTAAAAATGACTGTTATTGCTCAAAAAATCTACAGAAGACATCACCACTACCACATCGCCTAGTACCAATATATGCACTTCACTTGTGCTGAACTTGTAAGCCCACAGATGCTTTTATATAAAATCTTCATTACGTGACAAAAAAACAACAACAGAAACTATTGCTTGAATTCAGTTTATTCAAATGTGTACATGGGTACAATACAATGTTAGAAATATAGGTTCTGTGCAGGTGCATTTTTCATTCGGCAAAGGTACGGACAACATAAACGTTCCCTGAAAGGAACAACAGTTTTCAAAAGAAGTTTTTCCCTGTGGAAAAAGTACATATTTGTACCTTACTGTAATCTAATATTTAAAAACAGAACAATAAAATTAAAAGCCTGGAGATGAGACGGCATGTGTGGAGTCAATACAATTTAGAAAATATTATTTCAATGAATTATGGTACAGATATGTTCCCTGACTAAAGGTACTGAGATGTACCCTTGAGGCTACCACCTCAGTGACAGTTTCGTACCTTTTTTCTGAGAGTGTATTACAGTAACTGTGTTGATATATTTCATTCATGTGGACATCTTGTACACATTTGAATAAAATGAATTCAAAGCAACACGTTTTTCAGTGTGAGCACATAATACAGGTATTTATTGAAATTTAAAAACACACTCCAAAAGCATTTTTTACAGCAGTTTCTCATTAGGTTTAATATGATTTTTGCCAGTGTTCCGTAGAGCTAATCCACCCTGATAATGGTAACTGAAAAACTGCATTTGTGGTCGCATGTTGCATGTTATATGTCCAAACTGTATTATATAAACTGTATCCAATCCTGAGAGCTTGCTAATCTTCTTTTTTACAGAGCCCTACAGTCCTGCTGTGTGGGTGATGATGTTTGTGATGTGTCTGACCGTGGTGGCAGTGACCGTGTTCGTATTTGAGTACTTCAGTCCTGTAGGGTACAATCGCAGCCTGGTCAGTGCCAAAGGTGAGTATTCATGATGCCACATAACACTCCAGAAATGGGGACAGGTGTCAAAGATAGGCCCAACCTAAAGGAGCACTATCAATCTGAAATGACTGGCCTGACAAAACATTAGCCTGTGCCTGACTGAAAAGGTAATTTTCGTGTGCAGTTAGATAAATTTGCTCAGTCTTCCTCTTAATAAATGTTTTAGCTCTGACATTCGGGACAAAAATGACTGTGTTCTTAAGTGTGAATAATAGAAGCTTCCACCTGAAATTGGGAATCATCAGTGGTCTTATTCAAATTTGAACTTTTCCATTTAACTGCACACGCACAACAAATGCATTAACTACCTATAGTCAATGCATTTGTTCATTTATATTAACACACAGTCAGACATGTGTGAGTGCCGCATAAATGTGTCTTGCTGTGAGGCCCTGATCTACTACGATCCCACAAAAAGAGTAACTGTGTGTGCAATGTGGTAGACTGCACATGCAGTTAGTTGGCATTTTGAGGGTGATTTCCAAAAAATAATTGCATAGATCATGACATGCAAAAAAGGAAGGAAAAACAATATTTAACTGAGACTTTTTATGTGGGCTAACTCTTCACTCTTAAATTATTCCACCCTTCAATTACTTATTTTTCAGCCAAAATGGCCAGAAACATATTTTTTTAGGATATTTTTCTCCTGAAAATTAATGTGAATTATATCTGGATTGTAACCTAATTTTTTTTTTAAATGTATTTACATTTGGTAGTCAAATGCATCCCTGGTTGGTCAGATACGACTGTAATCCTTCTAAAAATGCATCTCAAACCATTTCCTTAAGTGGTTTGAGCGATCAGATTTCAATCTGTTTTGAATGTGTCTTGGGAGTGTTTAAACTTTGTGGATAATCTCTATCTGATATACCTGATATAATCCTGACGCTGCATGAAGCAACCGGGTATGGGGGTCAAAGAAAGGCGTGAGAAAAACAGGAGTTTGCAAAACTCAGAGTTCAAAACAACTGTGTAAGGCCTGGTAGACCATGAAAACCGTCACCATCAGATAAACAGTACTTAAAGCTTCATCTTTGACTATGTTCACATTACCAGGTTGAAGTCCATTTTTTCCCATGTAACACATTTGATTTTTTTTTTTTTCAGAGGTGTGTGGATCTATAAATCCAATCTTTTCAAATCAGATCTCGGCCACTTTCATATGTAGTCCTAGATTAGATACATACAGTACCTTGCAAAAGTATTCACCTACCTTGGTGTTTTACCTGTTTTATTGCATTACAATCTGAAATTAAAATCGGGTTTGTACCATTTCATTTACACAACATGCCTACCACTTTGAAGGTGCAAAATTTTTGATTGTGACACACAATATTTAGGACAAAAAAAAAACTGAAATCTTTAGTGTGCATAATTAATCAGGTATGTAGTGGTGCAATCTTCTTTCCATTTTGTTATAATGGATTTAATCGTGCTCTATGGGATGTTTAAAACTTTGGGATATTTTTATTTTATCCAACCCTGGTCTATACTTCTCCACAACTTTGTCTCTGACCTGTGTGGAGAGCTCCTTCGTCTTCATGTCACTTGCTTATTGGTGTTGCAGACTTAGGGGTCTTTCAGAACAGGTGCAGTTATCTGACATCAAGCAACAGATCCTGTGCCACTTTGCAGACAGACTGCACCAAGGCGGAGTGAATACGTTCGTATAGCACTTACCTGATTTGTGCCATGTGACCTTAATAGGAATGGTTAGATCGGAATTCATGTAGTTTTTTCCAATTGCACATGCACTATCATTCAGTGTTAATGTGGAAGCAGAACAAAGGAAAACAGCATAATGAAAAAAACAAAAAAAAAACAACAGCATAATAAAAAACAAACTTGCAGAAAGAGGCTGGAAGGTAGTTTATGACATGAATGAAATCTAATTACAGTTGGCCTACAGCAAATAGGCTACAATACATCTTCTGTAGGAAAAGAAGTAAATAAATAAGCAGTAGGCTGTTTATAGCAACCACAGACATATTTGCTATTTGCTCTAGGATGTTTTCTTGCATTCTGAACATATAGGTTACTCTTTTAAAAGCCTATAATGCTTCTAAGTTGTTAACAGTGTCCTTATTGTCTTCCATTTAGCAGTTTATAATAACTATCTTTTTTTTCTTCATGTTTCATGTTTCAGTTTATGCAAAATGACCATTTTTAAACTTCAAACACACAAAAATTATTAGGCCAAACACTAAAAATGACCGTATCGATCCTGCAAAGCACTCAACTGTTTGGTACATGCCCCTCACTAGTACTAATTTACAAATGGGCAGCTCATGCTATTTTGCTCATTTTGAAAGATATAGTCCTCCGCAGACCATGTTAGTAGATATGAACATTTATATTGGGTACATATAAACATTTCAATGCTTCAGATCTATTTTTGTTTATTTACTACATATAATTAGTGCTTATTGGTAAATAATTTGCAATAAGAACCATATTTAACAAATAAATTAAGTGTAAAATATTACACTTAGCAGCAAATTTGCAGCAGTTTCTCTGGCTCAGCAAAAAAAGGGGCTGATTGTGGTGTTACATCTGAATTCCTCAAGTCATTTGTCTTATACGCATGTCTCATTCTCTTGTGCTTACGTTCCCATCATTACTGATAGTGCATTTAATTGCAACCCTAACAAAAAACAGAATAAAAGTTTAGTAGTGAAGAGATAGGGATGTTAATAAATAAAGTTTTGTTTTCTGCCAGCACATTCTCTAGAGGTGCAATTTGACTTTAGGCAAAAAAAGTGGAGTTTGTGAAACAAAAACATGGACTGTGAGCAAATATTGTGGCCGCATCAAAGCATATTTTGTGCTGTCTCCTCTCATACACGTACATCTGATTCTGAGAGCTGAAAGTGTTATTTAATTAGTAGATATTCTTTCATCTAGTGTTTGTGGGTCTATGCCTTCATTTATACAGTGTCTGCTGCCATTATTAAAAGAATTCCCCCAACAACACTTTAAGACACTGCTGCTAATTTAAGCCTGCAGAATAAGTAATCAGCTATAGATACATAACATAACATACATATATAACACCTGAGCAGAATGCATCTTTTTTTTGCACCTGTAAATACAGCAGGCATGTTTTTTTAATACATCTGTGAGTCCAGTTAAAGTCAATACATTTTGAGATACTTTAAACACTTTTTAAACATGCGTCACACAGTGTGTTAAAACAGACAACACAAAAGCTTCGATAAGTAACACAGTTTTTGAGAGTGTATGTACTCTGTATAAACAACAAAATTACTTAAACAGGATAATAAAATATACCAAATGCAAGTGCTCATGTTTAAGTGAAATGTACCTGAAAACAAAAATATTCTTCTTTTAAGATCCTGGTGGGCCAACCTTCACCATTGGGAAGTCAGTGTGGCTGCTGTGGGGGATTGTCTTCAACAATTCCGTCCCCATTGAGAACCCAAAGGGCACCACCAGTAAAATCATGGTACTGGTGTGGGCTTTCTTTGCTGTCATCTTCCTGGCCAGCTACACAGCTAACCTGGCAGCATTCATGATCCAGGAGCAATACATTGACACAGTTTCTGGACTAAGCGACAAAAAGGTAAGTATAGCAAGGCTAGTGACTTGACAGTGTCTGTTTACCTTAGTTCCGGTCTGTGGAGTCAGGCAGGGTGTTTTATGAATATGATAATCAAATGCACATCATTTTCAGAACATCAACAGACCATCACAAGCTGTGAAATCATCCCATGATTGAAATCAAATATTTATATGCTTATGCATAAATCACAGATGATATACTGCAAGGGTGGGAGGGGATTTGAAGGTAGTAAACAATTATAAAAGTATACAAACTGCATTTTATGTGATTTGGTTGCAATAAAAGATTGATTAATATCTTATTTTATAAAAATGTGAACACTTTCGAAGAGTCATGACTTCCAGATCTCTAAGGTCGTGTGTCATTTCGTATTTGGCAACTTACCCCAATACGGAACTCCAGGTCTAAGGGAGATGGCTCACACTGCATTTTTCTGAAGGTCGAAAGAAGTAAGGTGCACCACACCTATTTTTGTCTTGGGAGTTCACACTGCTGACTTTTTTGAAGGCTTCATTTGGCTGTGCTTCTTTCAGTTGCTAAGCAACAGCTAGCAATAACTAACTGGCTAGCTAAAGCCAGACTTGCTTGTTAAATATAGATAACATAACAAAAACTCAACGCCAAGTGCTGCACTGATAATTGTTTGGTGTATATGGGCAAAAAGTACTAGCATTAACAAGCAAATGTCGTGCTGTTAGAAAAATCAAGCTAAACTAAAAAGCTGCTTTTTTGTTAATTACATGATTAAGATCCGTGAAATACTGCAATGAGTATGTATTTTATCTGACTGGTCAACACAGAAAATGATGTAGGGTACTTCATTGCTTTGAGTTAAACTTTTTTCAACTCTGATTTCAACTCTCTACACAATTCAGGCCACAAATGTCAAAAGGGTTAAAAAACACATCTTTTCCGTAATGCTAACGCCTTCTAGCATCCCTACGAGATTCTAGCAGATTGTTAGTGCTCAGCTAACAGTGATTTGCATGAACATTTTTTGGCAGTTCTAGATTAAACACAGACATTTGAAGCTTTTAAAAGACATTCTATGCCGTAACTTAAGCCTGAGACAGGCATATTAGCATATGACTGATTAGGCTTCCACTCACCTTCCAGAAAGAGCTGAGAGTGATGATTTTTCTCTCACAAAACCAAAACTCAATTGGTTGATTCTTCTGCAATAATGCAGATAAAATAATGTGAAGTATTAAATTATATTTTAAACTACTTGGTCATCTGGTTATCTGAACTTGCAAACAATTTCAGTATGAGCACATTTATTATTCAGTTTACTGCTTATTTTGTTGTGGGGGTGTAAAAAGGTAGCTAAGGGCTGTATGTGCTTGTTAAATGATTAGTAAAGTCACAAATTCTTTAGATACCCCATATTTTAGAGACACTTTATAAAATAAAAAATCACGTCTTGGTAAGTGAAAACATCATAAACTTGGTCTAAATATCTATTATTTCCCATTTTGGGATTATTATAAGAACAGTATAAGATTAATTAGGTCTATATTAACATTTTACGTTTTGAGTAATTTTATCTACTGAAAGTGTTTTATTCCATCGGCAAATAGTTCAAGAAATAATGCAGACAGTTTAGCTTTTTAGCAACAAATATGACTTGAAACAAGTAATTGAATACTGGATATGTCATAGATATATTAGCATTAGAGAGGCTGGTATATAGCTGCAGTTTTCTAACAACCTACTGAATAGGCTGCCACTCATATTCACAGTGACGTATCTGGGACTTCCAAAAGGCCCAGAGTGATGTTCTTCCTCAAACTTGGTTCCGTATATTAGAAATCACACACTCTCCTAACCAATAGGAGATCTCACTCCACTATATCTACCTAGACACCACAGAGTAAAACCATTCTTGACTGGTCAATATTCTACTTGGTGTTTCATGGATCTAACTCTTTTGTTTTTATCTAAAACTTAACAATGAAGAGAGTAGTATTGTAATACTTGCAGATTTTGAATACAAGTATGATTATATTGAATTAAAGTCACCTAAAAATTTCAGACATGTATTTTTTAGTTCCCAGACATCATTAGGCCTTATATGAAGGAAGGCCTAGGTCACCCTGAGGGTTCCATTCTGACTATTAAACACCATTATATAACAATACAAGCATCTCAAATTATAATCTACTACTGCCAAAGCAAACAAAGCTAGCTGGTGTGTGGGGTATTTTGGCAAGGTTGCCAAACTTATGTTAATTCAGTGCAGAGGAGTTAACAGCAGTGTTAGCTTACATGTAGCAATATTCATGTACTGACTCCATAATGACCTTGTAATTCAGAGGCTCCAGTGACATTCATGGAAAAAATATATATACAGCTACACATAACAGCTTTGGAACATCTTTGCTTGTCGCAGGATTCAACAGAGGTGATTCCTGAAAATAGCTTAGACGTAGAGTTCCTTATTTTGGCTTGATATCAACTAAAAATGACAACATATTATTGTAAGTGTAGAATTCTGGGCTGCACAATATGGACAAAATATATTGTGGTTTTACTGCTGCATCAGTGAAGCCTCGATGTGACATGATGAAAGACAGTTGTGCATTATTTTGAACTAAATTATTCAACATGGATCACGTCAATCAAAAACCAGTATCTGCAATACTGATATTGCAGTATCAGTGATAAAAGGTTAACATAGTGATACTGATTAAGAGATTATATATTTTGCAGCCATAACTGGAACCACCAGGTCAAACAAAAATCCTGACTTGTAGACGCTTTGCTTTTAGCATGTCAGGATTAAGAACTTTTCCCAAAAAAAAAAAAAGTCCAACCTGGCCAAAAAAATCCAACCTGGCCAGCCTTCATTGTGATTCCTGCAAACTCATTACAAATTCCCTCTGCATTCTCTATTGAATTGGATTCCCTTCAGCCACAGAGAGAGAATATCTGTCTATAATAATATTTGCCCGACAGAGGAGCGATTAGAGTTATTAAATGTGTGAAGGCTTGGATATAAAACTACACACATATCCTTGGGAAGTTTAACTGCCCCAAACGATCTTCATTCACAATAAAATGAATTTAAATTAAAACACTGCTAATCCAACATTAAATTAAATCAATACATTTTCATAGCGCACACATACACTGTCCAGTTCTATAATAATACTGATAGCTGTAACAGTGCAGATGGGAATGTTATCTGTACCAGTATGTAGCTGAATGTTTGATGCCTCATAGTACAATAAAAGAAGCAGTTAACTTGGTTGAGTTTCTACTGCACACAGTGCAAAGCTCTTTGGTATGACTGAAGTGATCCCCAAGGGTATAATGTGATCAACTCCAGTCGCTAGAATTATATGTGGTGTATTTAGGCCTGTGGGGAGCCTGGGGGCACAACATTAAAAATAAATGGCTCAGGGGCAACAAGTAGCCTTAAGGCAGATACAGTGCTGGGATACATGGATTTGATATTTCAAACTATTTGGTTATCCAGTTCTCTAGACATGCAAACCATTTCAGCAGCTCAGCGTTTTTTTCAACTTACTGCTTGTATTGTGGGGGTACATTACATAAAGGCAGCTAAGGGCTATAAGCATTTGTTAAATGATTAGAAAGGTCACAAATCCTTCTTATCTCAAACTTCTGACACAAGTGAAATCATCTTACAGCTAGACTAAATATCGTTGCTATAAGATAATATTTCTAGATCAAGTTACTGTCTATAGATGATTTTTACTTTTTGAGTAATTTTATATACTAAAAGTGTCTTTATTCTACTGACAAATAATTTAGCTTATTTCAGTAAGTAATGCAGACATTTTCACTTTTTCAAGAAATAATACTTGAACCTATAATATGTGAAAACAAAAGTGTCTGCAAATACAATAAGACATCTCGTTATCCAATTACCGCTGCTATGATCATGTTAATTTCAGGTAGCATCCCTAGGTTGGTAGCAGTTTTGCAGAACATTTTTGGCAGCTCTAACTTAGAAACGGACATTTGAAGAATGTAGTAGCTATTCCGTATCTTTTCTTTAATGCTTGTAACAGACAAATATATACAGTTGTATGCAAAAGACTGAGCATCCCTGGTCAAATGGCAAGGTCCTTGTGATTTTGTGAAAATAAGTGAAAGCAAGTACACATCCTCTGCACATTTTAGTGCACAATTACTGGCCTTACTGGAAAATGTTATGGCACATTTTATATTATGTTTTAGGTTTTCCACATGTTAAACTCAGCAAATAAATGGAAAATGCCATATTTAAGTTCCCTGTAGAGGATATGAACTTATTTTGTCTTCACTATTTTTCACAAAATCACTCACTTCAATGAGAAAATGCCAGGGAACATACTATTTGACCAGGGACACCCAATCTTTTGCATTTTTCAACAAAACTAACAACAAAACATGCCTGGATAATTTCCTTTAGGCATTTTGACATTTATGTTTCCAGGAAAAAGTTAATGATGAAATATGACTAATAATACGATACCTGCAGTTTACATGTGGTTACCACAATTCTTTAAAATAAAAAAAATTACAAACATGCAATTTTTAGTTTCCAGAAATCAATAGTCCTTCGTTGAAGGCCTAGATGGCCCTAAGGGTTTCCCTCTGACTTGAGTGTTCCAGAGGCCATCAAGTGAAATGATTTTATTCCTTTGGAGAATAATTTTCTCTGTTTCAAGATTTAAGATGATTTCACTAGCTGAGATATCTTTTTAGAATGTGCTTTGTACTCTGACAAACAATGTTACTTACAACACAGCTCTTCCTGCTTCAAATTATAAGGTATTATTTTGGAGGTAACATTCATTTTATGTATGAATTCTGCTGTGTTTTCATGAACATGGGCAAAATCACATATAAGCAAATGAGAATAAATTAGCTGAAGCTCATTTTAAATGGAAACAAAAAGAGGGGAAAGGAATATTAAATTGTCTTGGAACACTTGGCCTTGCAGCAGAGCTAATTTCTGTTCATTGTGTGGCCTAATCAGAGATTTGGATGTTGGAATTAACAAGGAGGGAAATTATTGAGAACGTAACCTTAGCTGACCAGTTAATTGACTGAATAGCACTCGGCGGCAGAGAGAGACTAAAGATATGATGACCAACTGTCTTCAGCCTGATTTTATCTCTGTATTAGATTCTTTTCTCCTCTCTGGCCGCTATAAGGATTAAGCCCGGTTAAATTCTCAAAACTAGTTGGATTTAGCTTTGCAGTTCACATATGAAGGCTGGAGATATGGAATCCTGGGAATCCTTGGATGAAAGAGCAAAGACAAAAAGTAAATTTAAAGTAAATCCACATAAAGAAATCCAGCTTAGAGTGAAAAATCAATCTTTCTCCACCAGCTCAGCTTTGTCGACCAAAGCCCCTACACTTCGGGTTACTGTGGGTTTAAAATCAACATGCCTTTCAAAGTAAACCCTTGTTTGTTCCTTCAACATGTTAATATTGTAATATGTCTTGTCTAACTCAGTTCCAGAAGCCACAGGAGCAGTATCCACCATTTAGGTTTGGTACAGTGCCTAATGGCAGCACGGAGCGAAATATAAGGAGCAACTACCCTGAGATGCATTCACACATGGTGAAATATAACCAGAAAGGTGTGGAGGACGCCCTTAACAGCCTCAAAACAGGGTACATTATATCTTAACACTGTGTGATTCCCAAATAGCCCTTATAAAAAAGAACTGTGGTAATATAAAAAGTATGATTTCATAGTGCTGTGTAATTCTTGTCATAATCCATAATACTTTCATCTCCATATATTTCCCTGTAATACTGTCTTACAATGATCTATATTAGTTGTACTATCCTGAAGTAAACTGTAGTAACTGTCTGAATTCATTACAAGAGTACGCAGGAATTTCTATAGAAATTTCTGTAGTATTACTACAGTACTTTTTCTTAAGGCATGATTCCAATTTCTTCTACACAGAAAGCTTGATGCCTTCATCTACGATGCAGCTGTGCTGAACTACATGGCTGGTAAAGACGAGGGCTGTAAGTTGGTGACCATCGGCAGTGGCAAGGTTTTTGCTACGACGGGCTACGGCATTGCCTTACAGAAGGGCTCACGCTGGAAACGTCCAATTGATCTTGCTCTTCTTCAGTTCCTTGCAGATGGTAAACTCATACAATTCTCTGAACAGTTTGCATCAAACTTCACAGCCACTGAGTGTTGAACATTGTGACTCTTGCAATTTTAGTCACTGCAGTGTTTGAAAAAGATATCTAAATCAAAGAAGAAGCACTAGGCTGACGACAAAGTACTACATTTACATTACAAGACTTCTTCATTCTCTGAGTCATCTATCAATGTAAGAGATGTGGAAGCCAAGACAATTTCATGGAAATAAAATGAATAAAAGAAGCCACTTGTAGTTTATTGACAATAATGTACTGACCATGTTTCCCTCTCCCTCACTTTTCTAATATGTGGAGAGTTTTACTGACAGAAATATATCTGCGTTCCAGGCGACACTGCAAAGCTGCAGACAGTGTGGCTAACAGGGATTTGCCGCAATGAGAAGAAAGAAGTGATGAGCTCCAAGCTGGACATTGACAACATGGCAGGAGTGTTCTACATGCTGCTAGTGGCCATGGGCCTTAGCCTGTTGGTCTTCGCTTGGGAGCACCTGCTCTACTGGAAGTTACGCCACTCTGTACACAAGTCTGAACGCCTGGACTTCTTACTGGCCATCAGCAGAGTGAGCACTTTCTACTTTTCTATTTTGCAAAAGTTAAAAAGCTTACGCTTTGCCTAGTTGAAACGAATCCAAACCAATTCTTGAGACACAATAATTTAAAAGAATAATCTATTGTTCTGACTGGCAAGTTAGTCTTTCATCTTGCTACAGTAGAAACAGCTAAAATACAAAATACATATGTTTATTATGTTCATTGTAAATTCTTGAGTTAGCACTGGGATGGCAATGGTGCTGTTACAGCAATTCCCAGTTAGGGCTTTAACTCTCTATTGCATGATATTGCCTCAGGATAACAAACTCATTTTTCTGATGACACACGTTTCTACACTGGACAATTTCCCTCTTGAAAAGCTATTTTTAATCTTTTTTCATCCATGCAAAAATATAATTCCCATCTGTTTCCCTGAGAGTGAAGTTTTTTAACATTTTTGTAGTTTTGTTTATTTAGGAAATCTAACTTACTTAGCATTAGCACTAGGCAATATTAATGGTCAGAACCCTATTTTAGTTAATTCTGTCATGTAGCGTTCAGCATACTGCAAGTTTTACTAGTGTCAGCAGTTTTATTTAAAAAATGAAAGTTATTTCTGATTATTTTAAAACTGCTGTATTCTTTTTCACGTTTTGGCAAAGCTGTAACTTTTATTTGTGGTTTTAAATGATTGGATTGCAAGAAATCTAAACTTTACTTCACCATGTTTCAGCATGGTAACACAGTTTCTTAAGGTAGTTTCTGAAGGTAAACTGAAACACAATTGTTCTCTGTTTCTACCATTTAAAATATCTGAAGATCAACAAATTTTGCAGTTACTCAGTTTTATTCTAAATATTTAGATATTTTTTTTTCCTCATAAGATGCGCTGTATGATTTCTTACCTTTGTCTCACAATGTTGTCTCAAGATACCTCTGCGCACATATCTTAAAAAATTGTTTTGGATTTTCATTTTAATAGATCATGAATGAAAAGTGAGTCAAACTTTTTTTTTTAAAACACTGCTCTCAATAGACGTTCTGTGCATCTATTCACTCTTTATAACTTTTTTGTAAATAAAAGCTAATTCTTAATGTCTCAAAAGTTCAGAGGCCACATAAGCTCATTACTGCATAAGAAAATAATAAACAAAGGTGTCAACAATCTCATCCATAAAGGGCCACTGAGGCACAGATTTTCCTCTTAACCAAGCAGAAGCACACTTCATTTAACTAATCAATGGTTTGATGACAACTGAATGTAAATCTGCAGAAATGACAAATAACAATGTGCCACATTAAAACAGTACATGATCAAGCAGTGCTTTATTCTTTGTGTACAGTTAAACTGTAAAATCAGTCTGTCATAGAGTTTTCACCATTTGCTTTTATTTGTTAGATGATGACACATTAGATCTTGATAACTGAATAGTTAGAGGGACTTACAGTGACAGTTTTTATGGTCACAGTACAAAAAAAAAAAGTCAAGGGCATGCTGGATTATGTTTGAGTACAATGAAGAAAAGAAAATCCTTCTTTTTTAGGATTCTCAGCACAGTTGTGGTGTTCCATTTTTAAAAATGGAATATTAATAGCCTCATTAGCAGAGTATCATCTGGACACACTGACAAAGATGATGTTAGATTAAGCAATCCAATGTGAGATCGAATTTGAAAGAGAAATTTATCAGGCAGAATAAAATAGTAGAAAATGAATATCACAAATGCATGGTCAGCTTCTTTTTCCATCATCTCATTTTAAATGTTGTTTTAACGCACACCAGCTACTGAGCAAATCAAAGTCCCAATAAACAGATCCAAGCACTTTTATAAGCACTTTTAATTTGCCTCTGACGGTTCCCCAGGTAAGTCTACACTTCATTCGTCGAATGAGCAGACAGAGCGTTGATATGATCAAAGCGAATAAATCACCATAGCAGATATAAGTTTATAAAGACATGAGGCAGAAATAATACATATTTTATGTACTATCTGCGAAGGCATGGACACTGTCCTGAATACTTGATACCAGGTTAATTTTACCTTGTTGTTTCTCTGTAGGGCATCTACAGCTGCTTCAATGGCGTGGAAGATACAGACCACAATGGAAATATGCAGAGTCCAGATGTCACCACCAATTACACCCAGGCCAACATGCTAAAGATGCTTAAGACAGCCAAGGACATTGTGTCCTCTGCCAGAGTGGAGAACTCCTTAGACAATGCTACTAAGACCATTGAGAATTTGAGTCGCCGAGGTCCAGATGCTACTAAACCTTGCCTTCCAACCCGCTTGATAAGCACAGATTCTAGTCATGGCCGTTTGCCCTACATCTCCAGTGTCACAGACAACCATGCACCGTACCCTTACACTCCCACATTCCCCTTGCATTATGGAGACAGCGGCACCCAGCCTTTGCTCGAGAAGCCTCGGGTTGTGACAAGGCCTACCCCTCTACGCTACACTCTACCTGCCCGGACCAGTCACCATCATATATACGAACGGACACTTCCTATTTCTAGTCTAAGCAGTCCTCATATCGCTATGAGGGACCCACCACCCCCCACAGCGCCAAAACCCCACCACAGCGGCAGGCTTTACATGGACAGTCAGGCCTGTCATCAAACAACCTCCCCCTTCCTTCCTTACCGTGAGTTCCACGTCCCTGACATCTATGTTGAACACCAGGAACCTTCTGAGAGCCGGAAACTGTATGCTGAAGGTCTGGGTCGCAAAAAGAGGTCCCACAGCTATGTGGCTCCATCACCGGAAACTCGCCGCAGGAACGACTATGATGAACCGACGTCCTGCCTGGCTGAACTTAGAGCCAATCACCTCCTGGATAACCATGCCCATACCACACCTTGCATGGGAAGCCACTACCAGAGGCCCAGTGGCAGCTGCAACTCCTGCATGAAACCATACCTGGAGCCAGAAATGGATGATGTTCCTTTGCTGGGAAAAGAGAAGCTGAACCGTCGTGCCTCTTTCCTTAGGGCCACATGGGGCGGTGACAGAATCCGGCACCTAGATGAAAAACCTTCAACTTCTGCCTCCTCCTCCAGTCGCGTCAACATGCCTGACTTGTTCCCTCGTGTAGTGGTAGCTAATCCCAAACCCTCAAAGATGTATTCTAGTGCTGGTAACAACCTCTGCTACAACATGGCAGTTGAGCCAGCCTATCTGGACCCAGCCCATATGGGCTCCTACCCGTACAAGCCTCAGAAGCTCAAATACTCTCAGTCTACCCGCCTCCCTTCATACCGGGAGGCAATTCTGCAGAATGCAGCTGCCCTGCGACGATCTTCTTCCACAGTAGTGCACAGACATTACTCCACCTACCTGAACTCATATACTGACCTACCAGTATATGTGGGTCCACTGGCGCAAGGACCTGCACACTTCTATGATCACTCCAAAGACATGTGCCACCTGTTCCCTTGCGTCAACCACTGCCCGGATGATGCCGCCCTGCTACCCCGGTTAGGTGGCAGGCCTGTAATGTACCAAAACACTGCTTTTGGAGGCTACGAGGGTGCTGGACGCTCACGCGATGAGCCACCATTGCAGCCACTGCACACTTTACCAGCTTCCTCTGGGAACAGGGACCGCAGGCAGGTTTTGGTGGCGCGAAGGGTGAATAGTCCCTATGTGCCAAAGCCCTGGGGCAGAGTGTCTAGCCTGGAGTCTGAGGTCTGAAGCCCTTCATATGGGTGTCTCGAGGCTCAGAGACTTGTCTCCCTATGAACTTAGAGGCAGAGATGCCTGGAACAGCCAAGCAGCCTTTGAATCTTGCAAAAATCTAAGCTGTGCTGAAGGTGGACTAGAAGTGATATTCTCAGTGCAATAATATTTAGGGCAGCAGGGATGGGAGAGAGGGCATGACCATGTGACTACTGCTGGGACATCAGTATACTTTAAATGCTAAAGAAGTAAACACAATATTGAATCATTCTTAATATATTAAAATTGAGCTTATCAATTATTTAAACAAGTTTTTAAATGTCATTACATGAATAGAGTCAGTCATTCTCTACAGACAGACAGATGGATAGACAGACAACGTGCAAGGCAGCTTTAGACCACAAGGTTTAAATTTATCTTCATGGAGCTTTTGTTCATGGCCAATCCACATTCCACAATTTTGAAGTCAGAACTACAAAGCACTGCAGAATTTTATAAATCAACCACTCAAAAATGTCTTCCAAATTTTTTTAAGTCCAGGGTTTTAAGAGGGATGTCTGTTTGAGGCTTTTTACTTGCTCCAATGATGTAACATGGATTTTAAGACTGCTGAACTTCCACTGATTCCGTCGTCTGTATTTCCACAATTATTTCGCTGTTTAATAAACAAATCGGTGGCTTCAAGAGCCTTTTGGAATGGGCTCAGTTGAGTTTTCTTTTCAAAAATCCTTTTAACGTGTTTGTTTGCCCAGCTATATGGCATACCTGCAAGATTCTTACAAAAAGATATGCAATTAAGAATACCTCAAAAAATTATGAGACCAACCTAAATCAGCAAAATGTGGCATGGCAAAGTTTGAAAGCTCCTAGTTACATCACCTTTCAAAACCACAAAGCAAGAGAAATATTATCCTCCAACACAATTGTGGCTAAAGCCCTTCACCTTCCCACCATATTCCATATTCCCCTTCAGTTTCTTCTTGAAATTTTATTTACTAAGTCAAACAAATGTCAAAACATGAAGGTGATACATGCAAACAGCATATGTGCTCTTTCTGTTGCAGCAGTAGAATTGATGGGGAGGTCCACGATCTTTCTTCCCTGAAGGATGATTCAATGCATGCAGATATAATATCACAGAGAGAGGGCAACTAGCACAGGATGATATCAACATCCATCCATCAAATTCCAAACAGAGGCGGCAGAGTAGGCACAGCCGTTTATAAGTCAAGCAGCGGACTCAAACTTTGACATTCAGCATGGCTGTGATTGCTGTTTACATTATCTACAGCATCAAGGTTACTGCTACATGCTGATGTAAAAGACATCAGGCTGTTCCTGAGATAAGACCCAGTTTTTTAACTCACTGCATCCTTTTGTTGCTAATATTATCACTTTCGGTTCAAAACTGCCAATTAGCTGTACAGAAATATACACTGATTTGCAATAACAGATTTTATGCAAGATATATCTAGGACTAAATTATTTACAGTGGCTGAAATATACTGTATCCATGGATAGACTGTTCAGTCAAAGCTGTGCATGAGAAACCATGCCGAACATTCTGCAGTGAACCACACAAACTGAATAAAACCCAGGCCAGTTCCAGAAGGCCTGTATGGGGTGATGGATACACAGAGAAAGGTGCCATCATATCTCTTGTGCAGTATGTTGTGAACTGCACCCTGCCATTCCTGAGAAATGGGTGAATCTGAAACTGGGCAACTATCTCTGGAAATGTGATTTCCAACAGAACAAAGAGAGAGATTAATGCCTTTGGCTCTTAATAAGTGTGAGAACTACTTCATAGTTAATCAAATCCCAAAAATGAACCTTAAAATAAAAAGGCTAACTTTGCCATGCAGCTCCCCAACCTATTTCATTCATTTCACACTTTAATTAACAGCATTTACTCCATCATTCTCTTTCTTCCCGAAGTGTTAAATTCTTGGGAAAGTTGAGGCACAAAGAAAACCAGTGCATACAAAATCCTGCCCCAATATTCCAAGTGAAATATCAGCTAAGATTCTATATGACCTGAGGGAAATATTTTATGAATACAATTTCACTCTTGATTCCCTCTGCGGACCGCTTCATGCATTACTACTCACACTCACCGAGAGGCAAAAAATGATTACATTTGCAGATTCTGCTGTACCTGGTGTTGTACTGCGTTATATATCTGTTAGGGAGAATAACCTAAGTCAATCAATATACTGCCAGAGCGTCATTCAGTACACCCCAGAAAGGAGATGTAGACATGTTCTACAGGCAACCTGCTCACAATAATATGAACGTAAGCAAAACCTGTACATCAGATACAGATAAAATACTTTTTTATGGCAGTATAATGAATTAAGAGTGGGCAAAAATTACAAAAAAAAAATCACAATACTTGAAGATATTTTCATGATTTACAATATGTATCACAATATTTAATTTTTCTGAAATCTGTGAAGTAGTAACGAAGAAAATACACCAGCAAAAAAGGAGTCACATTTAAAAAAAGGTTATGAAGAACTGTAAGTACAATGATTATTTAAACATTCAATATTTGCATAAATAAAGTATTCAAGAAACAATGGTAAGAAAAAAAGGCCATCCAGCTATAAAAATAAAAATCTTATTTGTCTTCTTTTTCTCTTAAAAATCAGCACATTTTAACATAGCCTACTTATTATTTTCAATAATTTAATAATCATTATTTCATCACATGAAATGAGGGTTCAATTAACCTGACTATTAAAAGCACACTCATTCCATAGAGTAAAAGCACTTTCCAATCTTCACCACCAACGGTCAGTGAGAGCAACAGTGGCTGCATGTTCCAAACAACGAGTGTATATATCACATACATCAAATATACAGGCAATGGTTCCTCCACGATTTCAGATATCTTGCTCTCACTCTCATTTATACAGCTCATAGATTCTTGTCTTGATGGAGGATCTGTCCTAGTAACTGTCCTTTCCACTTTACTATTGTTTTCTTAGTTTGTTACTTGATGATTCAGTGTTTTCCACACAGGTTATGGTATGTGCCCCAAGGTTTATTTTACACCCATCTAAGCATGCTTTTATTTATTTTTTGACTGCTACATGAACCCAGCTCAGGCGAGTGGAGGTGGAGCAAGAGATAGCGTGAAGGAGACAGCATAAGAGTGAGTAACATTTGTGAAGAATCTTCTAAACATAACTAGCAAAGCTGTCTTGGCTGAATTCTCTTCCTCTTAGTTCAAAAGATTGCCTAGTTGCAGTTACACTAGTAATTCATCTAATATTTATTTAACAGACAAGAACTGAGAAATATTTTAACAAGCAGCTGCATGAGATGCATAGCTCAGGCACTCTGATGTGTGCTAATTCACAGAGAAGCACTTTGCGGTCAGTAAACTAAATACAGTCAAAAGAAATGGCTATTTCTTACAGTGCATTTGGTCATTTCAGCGGTTGATATTCAAGTGAAATATGTTATTCACAGGTAGCTTGTATCTTCATTTTTTTCACTTTTGTTTAGCCCACCTTGTCAGTGGTTATAGTTTCCCTTGTCAGTCGTATCTAACATATCTAAATTGCCATCTTTTGCAGCACCAACAAAGATGTTGGGTTAAAACTGAGACAGACAAGAGGTCAGACCATCTGTTTTTATGACAGTATAGTTTCACAGATCATACATCACTCGTGCTCAAAGAAGACATAAAGACATACATTTTAATTTTTTATTATAGTCTTAAGGTTATTAACATTTGTATGTACCTGACATACCTACACAGTCTTGTATCTAAAAACTGTGCATTTGTAAAAGCCGAGTGCAATCACTGAGAGAGGAAAAAAAATATGAATTTTGTCATTTATTTACAGTCAGGTCCATTAGTATTTGCACAGTGACATTTTTTGTAACTTCGTCTCTGTACATCACCACAATGGATTTGAAATGAAGTAGTCAAGATGTGACTGAAGTGTAGATTTTCAGCTGTAATTCAAGGGGTTTAACAAAAATACTGGATTGTTTAGGAATTAGTCCCTCTATTTTCACAGGCTCAAATGTAATTAGATAAACTAACAATTATAAATACAAGGATTATGTACCAAATGCTGAGTCTCCTCCCTTGAAATGCTTTGCCAGCCTATACTGCCACCGCCTTCACGCCTTCACCGCCTTTGCCGCTTGTTTGTGGGTCTTTCTGCCTTCAGTTTGTCTTCACTAATTGGAAAGCATGCTCAGCTGGGTTCAGGTCAGGTGACTGTCCATTTAAGAACATTCCATTTCTTTGCCTTCAGAAGCTCTTGGGTTGCTTTTGTTGTATGTTTTGGGTCATTATCTATCTGTACTGTGAAGTGCTGTCCTATCAGTTTTGCAGCATTTGACTCATCCTGCTACTTCTATCAGTAGTCACATAACACTCCACCATGTTTGACAGATGATGTGGTATGCTTCGAATCATGAGCCCTTCCTTACTTTCTCTTCTCTTCTTTACTTCCCATAATTTTGGTTCAAGTTAATTTTGGTTTCAGCAGTTCAAAGAATCTTCTAGAATGTCCTTGACTAGATGCTATGAAGGGGTTTGTCTTCACCACAGTTCTACAATCATCCACTTTAGTTGTCTGCTGTGGTCTTTTAGGCCCTTTGGTGTCACTGAGCTCACCAGTACATTCCTTCTTTCTAAGAATGTACCAAATTGCTGTGTATGATCCACTCAGACCAGTGCAACATACACTAACACACCACCACCATGTCAGTGTTACTGCAGTGCTGAAAATGATCCACCAGAGAAACAGATGGACCACAGTCTGTAATTGTAGAACTACAAAGTGCACCTATATAGTAAGTGGAGCTGATAAAATGGACAATGAGCAGAAAGAAACAAGGAGGTGGTCATAATGTTATGCCTGATCGGAGTATACAGTTGATATACACTGGTAGTTGTGTTCAAAAAGTTTTCAATCTACCAAAAGAACTATGTCTTTGAAGTACAGTACTGTCTTGCAATGAAGCACTGAGAAAACAAGCAAGCATTGACCATCTACTTTGAAGCAGCAAATGTGTGGAGCAAAGGCATGGAGAATGAATTTAGATACTGATGGAGCATGGAGGTTGTGCGCTTGAAGAGAACTCTTATTTCCTTCACCCTACTGTGGTTTTAAGACGTGATGTGAGGAGCTAACATCCATCTCTCTCTCTCCCTCCCTCTCTCTGTTCATGGTGGGGCTCAGCCATTCCTCATGCCCCTGTTGGAGGGCTGGAAGGGCTCCAGCTCTGCTAACAGAAAAACGCAAGGAGGAAGAAGAGAAGGGCGTGGAGGTCAGCATGCTGAAGGGCAGCTGAATGAGCTGATTAACCCCCAGGGATGGCCTGTTTAATCATGGCTACTCAGGACGATGCGCGACAGGAGAGCGAGCCAAACGGCAGCGCGGACCTGTAGTGCCCCTGATCATTCAGCATTCTGAGCTGGAAGGAAAGAGCAAAACGAAAGAAGGCATAGGGTCATTACAGAAACCAGACTCAGCAAGGTCTACAAAGGGCAAATCCTTGAACACTCCTTCTACAGCTGTAGCGTTAAACGCAGACAAAGAGAAAGAGTGAGAGAGATAGAGAGAGAGAGAGAGAGAAATAATTAAATTAGGGCAACCCTAGTTCTGCACGACGGTTACTTTGGAGCGACGCCACAGAAGAAACTTTTAGCTCCCTGAAGAACCG